AATTTAGAAGCTTAAGGAGCTTTAATATTGAAAGGAGAGTTTGTTGATTATAAAGGATATGATTTGCGATCATTATTCAAACAAAAAGGTTGCTTAATTTTAGAAAATGAACTTATATAGAAATAAAATTGATAATTATTAAATAGCCATTAAATTATACAATATAAATTAAGTATTGTTAATTTATTATTAATTGCAAATGTTTACTTAACTCAAAAGTTATGATAACTATTTCTTCTTTGGAAGTGGAAAATAAGTAATGCCTGATTGCATAATTCTTCATCTGAGAGAGATATTTAATTTCAGAAAAAGTTTATATACATATATAATAAGATAAATATTTCACCTTGTAGAATTTCAGTCAACATTAACTTGATTAATGAAAGCTTTACTTTAAAAATATCTATTTTAGAAAAAGTGCTTCACTATCTAGACTCGATATAGATATTAACACTTTATGTAAATAATCATTTACAAAATGACTTTGAAATTCAAATGAAATCTGTGATTTTCTTCATGTTTAGATCAATATAGAATGATATTGAAAATAGGGTTGATTATTCACAACAAAAAGCCATTTTATTATCAAATCTAATTTCTGTGAATAATAATTGTATTAAAATGTTCTAAAAATTTAAGAGAAATATTTCTTATTTTGAACTTCCATTTTTAGTAAGAACAAACAGAAATAAAAGATATAAAAAAATTTTCTAACAGAAAAGAGATATTTGATATTTCTACTAACACAAATGTATAAATATTAATAGTACCTTTGTCTTGACATCTACAGCTAAAATTTACTATTTGAGAGTATTTATAAATATTAGCTTATTAATTTAAAACTCTACTTTTGCAAAAAAGCGACAAAGTTTAATCTCTAATTTTACAGATCTAATTTATTAAGGTATGTTCAATTAATTTTAAGAGAACTATTCTTTATTTAAAAGCAAAAACCTATTATTGTTTTCATAATTAAATACGAAAGACTTGAGGCTTATGATACTCTATAAGGCTGGTTATTGTTTTTGTCAGTGTGTTACAGTCATATCCTGCCAACTTTGTCAGACAAGTGGAAATATAATTATTTATTCTAAATAAGAGGAATAATTTTGTCGATTATAAAAAGAGTGTTAACAAATTGTATATAAGGTCATTTTGAAGTAAGAACAGGGACAATTTGGAAAAATATCCTTTGAAAGCTATGGTTGTGTATGTTTTATAAATATTAATCAATACAAAGTTGAATTTTGATGCTGATATTGCAAATCTAACATAAGAATTAGAATTCATCATAGTAAACGTAACCAACAACAAAGTTAAAGTTGTTAAGTAAAGAGATGACCTATAATATCATAATATAAATAAGTGATTATCCTGTACATCAACAGATGTGGCAATACTAACTACTAAAATAAGATTCCTATAAAATGATAACATATATCATTTCAAGATATTAATGTTCCAATATGTGAGAATGAAGTTACACTAAATAATTACATCATGCACTAGGTAGTAAAGTTTTCACAGAACAAGAAGTTTCAGTAAAACTAAAAATAAAACAATATAATTTAGACTCAGCTGCAAGTTAAAATAAAAGATAAGTGAGTTTACACATTATTTGAAGAATTAATCACATCACTCATGTTTTAGCCAAACTTTAGTGATTACTTCCTTTTGACCCAGAGATGATTCATTAGATAATGTATACTTAAGAATAATACATTTGAAGAAATGAAAAGATAGAACGAGCTTATTGGGTCCTAGAAAAATACGACAAGATAATAAAAATTTTAGAAATTGACTTACTATTTCTAGAATGGACATATTCAGTGCCAACACTACAATTCCTATCCATAAAAAAAGAGCAGCAAGCTATATAGGGTATGTACAAGTGGTATAAGACACTATCAATTATTATACATTTATCTGAGACCTTTCGGTAGCAGTTAAAGGTGAATTCACCAAACGTGTTTCACAAATTCAACATAACAAATTAATGCTTGTGTATATATGTAGAGTGGCATTACAATTTACTATTTAATACATTAACACCAGCAGATAAGTTCAATATAAATTGCCTTGTACATATTGCTAATATCCATATTGTAATTTTAATACTTCTACAAGAAGGATGTTGATTTAATTCCTTCTGCAAAGCTTACTTCAGTTAACTACTGGTAAATTTTGAGTATCAGGATATATACACTATTCATCCACACGATAACTTACAGCAATGCTTGTATTCTGATATTATTGATCGAAGTTCAATTTAATTAGTTTTAGTCCAAAATATAATTCCAATCGTTTTATATGAGTTGGGATCTATGCAATATGTGAAGTGTGTATTTGTCTGAGCAATAGATATTTAAATAATGGTAACTGTTATCTAAGCCATTGATTCATCAGTATGTTTCAGATGGATGGGATGTGTATGCCGACAAGTCGTATGAGTCACTGAAGGGATAAAAATTATTATTATGATGTTACTTTTGCAGATCCATATCAGGTTTAAGTCTTTTCACTTATAATAGCACTGCAATTTTACTTTGGTGGAAGAAAAATAATTATGCATTTAAGTAGGTGTTAATAATTTGTTGTATTTTAAGTTAAACATTTGTTTTGGTCAAGCTATCTATACTCTCATTCTTTACTTAGAATATTGGTTTTCGAAAATGGGGAGCCAACCTAACTGCTGCTGAGTAATGTAAAGATTGAAAATTTGCTCCTGAAAATGAAAATAGCCTGGTAAATCACGATGTGTCAATAAAGTACTATGTGGGAGACAAATTAGATTCTATATAACTTTAAAAGAAAGTTCCAGATATTATTATATAATAATCATCACTTTAATTTGTATGAATTTTAAATTTTTAATACTAATTAATATTGAAATTAGAGTGGATTGATTTTGGTTTTTCCAATTTTAATCCAATTACATTTTGAATCATATTGAGTGAGTTATTACCATACACCCGATCAAAATTTTTATATCTTTTTCTCTAAAAAGAATAAACTATTAATAATTGAATTTAATTATTATAAATGATTGATTAATTAATTGTTCATAATGAATGATATTTTCTAACTTAAATCTTCTTAGATAATTTATCCCAAGTAATCAAATACTCTCCATTATCACTCATCTATCCAAAAATACTTTCACTCTCAAATTGTATAGATTATTATGTTATAAAATCACCGTTTTGGTTCTTCCTTATCAAATTAACACATTTTCCATTCTTATTCACAATCAAGCTTTTAGACTTGATAAATTATTAAGGAAAGAAATAATTGCATGACTCGGAATCACATTTAACAGGAATTTCTTTTGTTTTTGAGTACTAATTATTACTACTATTTATCTCATAAACATGCATCTACTCTTTACAAAGAGGTTGAAATATGAATTAATTATCATTTATGAAGCATAATCTTATACCCCATAATTCTAATTTTATCATTTATATTACATTCCATTTTTACGATGACTCTTCTATCAATATTAAACTATCTTATCCGCAAGATATCACTCTATTTTATTTCTCATTTAAATATAATCCTAATACTTGCTATTTATGATCTGTAATAGTTTGTGAACAAACCCAATGATTCTGCTTTATCCAAAACTTAATCGTTGTATCTTGGCTTCCTGATATAATAAGATCTTCATTATTATTCTGGATTAAACAATTAATCCAATATTTATGCTCATTCAATTTCTATGTACAAATCCATTAACTATTTTAATTCATCGACCATATTATAATCAACTTATCCCAACTCCCAGATATAAATTGAGTCTATTTCTTCATAAAATTTAAAGTTGAAACATTATTTTAATGTTCGCTAAGAATTTGAATTAGTTTCAACTATTCTTATTTAAATTCAAATACTTTGATCTTACTATAACACCCAGCTAATACAATTGAATTATCTGAATTAAATGCAATAGCATAACAATATTCATTTTATTAGATTGAATGATCGTGAATCAAATCATAGGTGAATGATTCAGAAGTTGATTAAT